AATAAAAAATTCTACATTTAAGTAGGAAATTATAATTTCTCAAAAATCTCATCATTTTTTGTAAAAAAAAAAAAGCAAAAAAAACATTTAGGTCAAAAGTTCGATTGCAAATCCAAACTCATTGGTTATGATTCCATATTGTATAAATGAGCATGTCGATATCAAAATGAAAACGCGTATTTCACTTCTATGTAAATTAAAACGTTTCTCTTTTTTTTTCTCAATGTAATACATATGTTTCTGATAAAAAATTTATGGAGAACAAAAAATATGTTTGTCATGGCTTTTTTATGTTGATTTATTTTTATTAAGAATTTCAATTTAACAGAATATTCTCATATTTAATTGAATTTTTAAATGACAGAAATTTCAATTCACCAAATTTTAATTTGTCCAAATTATTTTTTATTTGGATGAATTTTTAATTAATAGAATTTCAATTGACAGAAAAAAATTCGGCGCAATTTTTTAAAATTGACAAATCACGATTCGGCGTCTTAGAAATTCTATCAATTAAAAAATTCTTACAAATAAAAATTCGGACAAATTGAAATTCGGTGAATTGGAATTTCAGTCATTGAATAATTCGAATTACATAAAATTTGATTGAATGAGAATTCTGTTATAAATTCAAATTCTTTTAAATAAAAAGTCATGAAAAATTAAATGACTGTAAAATAAAAAATTCTGTCAAAAATTTTGTTAAGTAAAAATTCGTATATAAAACAAGAAAAAAAATCCTGACAAATTTTAATATGAAAAAAGAAAATTTGTGTAAAAAAAAAAAATTATTTCTAATAAAATTCTTTAAAATGAAAATTCTATTGATTTTTATGGGAAAATCATGCACCTGTTTTAAACCCCATGTCAATGTTCTAGTTCAAGGTTGAAGGACCGCTTTCAGATTGTTTTTTTTTTCGTTTTCCAATATTGAAAAATAAAAAATTAATTTTCAACTCTAATAACACATATATATAAGTTTGTAAGATTAATAATGAAATTTCTACTCTTATATGAGTTTGAAAAATGTTTAGTGAGAATAACCCTTACGTGTTTGGCGTCAAAGATTCGACCCAGACACACTCTAGGTCATTTTGAAGAGAAATCTTTTCTGTTCGGCGTAACGCCAAGGGAAGAGGCATCATTTTCTTCATATATATATATATGTTTCAAACACAATAGTCATGCCATATTGTTTTCAGAATGAGAGAACAAAACACACAAACACACACAGAAAATACTTTTTTCGGTTGAAATTGATCTTTGTGCTTTCATTTTCTGTATATCTTTCAATGAGGTTGACCGAATTCTCACACACACAGAGAAAAAATCTAGAACATTTCAATAGATCAAGAGAAAAAGTGATGTGAAAAATGCTCAACGATTCAAAAATTAAATTTGACTATTTATATAATATATATAAATGTCACAACTAAAAAAAAATTCATATTTTTCTAAAGATTTATTATATAATATTCCTTGAATAACTGCCAAAGAGTGGTTCTTTTTTATATCATTATTTGCAACAATTGATAAACAAATTTCAAAAATACACTGAAAAAAAATTATTTTAAAGTCTCAGATAAAATAATTTTTAAGTTAATTAAATTTTATTTCAAGTACTGAGCAAAATTGTTTAATTCAAATAAAAATTATTTAATACAAATAAATATTTATTTGTGATAAAAAACAAATTGTGTGAATCAAATAAATTTCTTTCTCATTGTGTTTCCTTATTTATTTATCCGACAACCCGTGTAAATATAATTTTGAGTGTAAGAAAAAAAAATTATATGATTTTAATCGTATTAAAAATATATTATCACTTTTTCTAATTGACTTGAACTTGATTCTAAATACAATTCAAACGATTATATTACCTATATATAGATATATTTAAAGTAAATAGCTATTTATATAAAATTATTATGACACGCTTCATTTGCCGCTTTGATGATAAAGTTATTGAAATCCAAAATTTTATCTCACAATATATAACCATTTTATCATCATTCAATCGAAACAATAATTGAAATTCAAATTCGTTTCTAAAATCAAAGGAAAATTTAACACAGCGTAAAAAATTGCATCAATTCAATCGATTTTAATTAAGCATAAAATTTTCTTTGACAGAAATTCAATCACTAAAAATTCTCTCTCTCTTTTTTTTTTTTGTTGAGAATTATCTTTCTGGGTAATGTACACTCTGATAAGTGTTTTTAAAATATACATGTAATTTGAAATATGCTCATTCAGTGTGTGCACTTTTTTTTTTTTTTGAGTAAAAAATTTTTGGATATACATATTTTATAAAAAATTAATTCTAATTTAATGTTGAAAATTTGAATAATCAAATACATTAAGTACCACATCTACTGGGTAAACAGTTTTTAAAAGGGTATTTACGTGAAACTAAACAAAGAATTTTAAAATTATTATTTAAAAATTATTTAAAAATTATTTAAAAATTATTTTAATTTACTTAATAATTTAAAAGTATCAAAATAATACCAAAAAGTATTTATTTGATAATAATCAAGTAACCAATTATTTGAATTAAATAATTTTTTTTTTCAATATATATAATAAATATAAAATAAAGAAAAAGTAAATATAAAATTATTTATTTTATAAATAAATATTACTATTATAAATAAATTATTTTCATAATTATTTGATAATTATTCAATAAGGGTATTTTTAGAAGAAGAAAAATGACAATTTGAAACAGTATTTTTAGTTATATTGTTTGAGAACAAGTTTAATTGTTATCGATATTTTTTTTTTTTTTTTACAAAGAAGAAGTTTTTTATTTTTCAAAACTATAAGGACAACCTTAACTTTTCTCAAAAGAAAAGAAAACTCGTTAGAACTTATTTTTATATTCAGAACAAAAGACTATAAAATTGTAAATTACATTTAATACCAATTATTCTCAATATTGAAAATCGATTTAGAAACAATCAAAAAATAGAGAGGAAGTGTATCTTAAAGACAAAAGCTGAAAATGTCCATACAAAAGAAATTGGCAAACATTTTTCTTTGTCTCTGGTTAAACTTTCGTTTGCCCAAATGACCTAGAAAAGGGTCAATACTGAAAAATCAGTCTTTTATTCAGGTCAAGAGTTTTTTTTTTTTTTTAAAAAAAAAGGGCATAAATAGAGGCGTTACTTTGATATTTGAAGAACCGGAAGTCAAAGCACATGAATGCCTGTTCATTATATGGATTCATATACCGCGAGGCACCTATTGAATATCTACATTATCTTCATCCATGTATTTTATGAATTTTCTCACCTACAAAATACCTATACTCGATCGGTACCATCGCGATCTCTTTCTCCATCTTCTCTCTCTCTTTCTCTCTCTCGCTTTTTTTTGTCGATAACGTATAAGTAAAAGCGGACTCACACTTATCGGCTCCAGATATCTCTCTCACGCGCCTATATAACCCGATGAATAATGACCACGATAGTAACGACGCGTTTAAATAATGATAATTTTTTTTTACTATATTTATTATAAAAAAAATGTATTTTAATTTATTTATTATTTATTTTTTATTTATTAAAAAAAACAGTTGAAATGGAATTACAAGTTTTGCGCGCCCTTGACTTCTATGTAGCTTTAAAAAAAAAGAGACAAAAAAACTATTTTCAATTTAATGCGTTTAAAAATACTTAAGCGATAATATCATCCTTAAGGGATGATTTATTACTTTTTAATGATAGTGAAATAATTATCCCCACACCAAACACTTATTTTTTGTCTTGCAGAAAAATGCATATAAAAAAATACTGTGTTTTTAATCAATTTTTATTTTAGTTTTATAAAAATAAAAAAAAATAAATAAATGAAATAAATAAAATTCTTTGATACAAATTAAAAATATAAATAAAAAAATATAATAGATAAAATAAATAAATATATTTATTTTATTCTATTCTTTTTACTTTTATATTTTTTTTAATTTAAATTTTAATTTTATTGTACGAAAGAGCATTTTTTTCTGTTTGTAATCCGTTATATTTATTTATTTTTACTAAATAAATGAAAAAAATAAAATTCTTCGATACAAATGAAAAATAATAAAATAATAAAAAAATAAATGTATTTTATTTTTTTAACTTTTATTTTTAATTTTATTTACAGTACTTTGTTCGAAAAGACGTTTTTTTTGTTTACAATATAAATAAATAAAAAATAAATAAAATATAAAAAAATAAATTTATTTATTTACACGTAAACGAACTCACAAAAAAAAATTTCCCCTTTCGTAGTGAAGTACACTAAAATTGAAAAAATATAAAATACATTAATATGGAGATAATTATTTTTTAAAAACTAAACAACAATAATAACTAAGTAGCGTTGTTATTGATATCGAAATAAAATATTTTACGCAGAGACATTGTATAACTACTAAACGTAGAATTAAAAAACTCTAATTGTAAGTTATTACAGTATAAAATAAATAAAATGTAAATAAAATTCTTTAGTTCAAAAAATAAAAAAAAACAAATAAAATAAGTAAAATAAATAAATAAAAAATAATAATAGTAAATAAAATACAAAATAAAAATTCTCTCTGAGTGATTAATTATACCCTTTAATAAAAATTATATTTAAAAAAAACACCGTGCATAATTAATCTATCCTTTTTCTTTAATTTATAATTGTTATTTTTTTTTTTTTTTAAGGGAAAAGAAGCTGTATGTATGTTTTGAATTATTATATACGAAAAGAAGAATGATTTATGTTCAAATTCCCCCTGGGATGAAAACTTTTCGAGAGAAAAAAAAAAGTTTCGCATTTATACGTCTCAATTTGATGACGATGCTCTAAAGGGCTTTAAAATGCGCCGGAATATTGAGCTCTTGACTATTTAATTATTTAGTATAATAATCTCAAATGCAAAGGAAGAAAATGCAAAATTTCATTTAAATTCAAAAGATGTTCCTGAGAAATGACACACTGGGCTTTGAAAGAGAGAGAGAGAGTCTTTTTTTTGCTATATTTTACTTTTAAATAGAATTTTCACAAATTAATTACAGTAATTATTATTAAGTTTCATTTTATTTAAATTACAATAAGTAAAATTAACGTGCACTTACTATCAATTTTGATTATATTATGTTACAATTTTTAGGTTAAAGCCAATATATTTCAATTAAAAGATGTTTTTTTTCATTTTGGCCTAAATGGCTTTTAGTTTATTACAAAAATTGACATAAAAATGTGACGCGTTTCGACACAGAATTCTGTGTCCTCATCAGATACATTTCTGTAAAGATAAATTTTTTTAGAATTTTTTTCAAACGAAGATTAAAGTTCTTTTTTTCTTTCGAAGAATACATACCGACATTGTCACGTCTGTTTAATTTTGTTTATTTTATTTAGACATAATAATTTTAATCATCTGTAAAAATGTAAAACTGTAAGAACCAGCTATTACTTAAAATATTTTATCTAATTATCAAAAATTTACCTTTAATTAATTTTGAAAGTTGAATTGAAAAGATTGTTTATTTTATATATGTTTGTTTTAAGAAAATTGTTTTGAAAAATTTAAAATTAAAAATAAAACTTTTTTGAAACACATGTTTGACATGTGTTTCAATTTTGTTGGTTAGGAAAGTCAATGAAAAACAGATTTAGTATTGAGAATCAGAACGGTGTCAAGCCAAGGTTCATATAAAAAGTGCTAAAAGTATAAAGGTCGGTTCACAAACATTATGATATTAACTGTAAATAAATGTAACTTAACTTTTCAACATCAGTTTTAAAGTTGATTGAACTATTTTCTTTTAAAATATAATACATTTCTATAATTTTTCGTTTTCGTAAATTTTTTTCGGAATATAAAATTTTAACATCATTTGATGAAAAGTTAAACTGATGTTTTAATTCCGTTGAATGTTTACAAAGGGCTGTTTCTTTACTTTTAATAGACTCCTGATATTTGTGTCCAGATATTCTATTCTTTAGATGCTGTGATGTCTGACCTACATAACATGAATTACAATTTTTACAATTTATTTTATAAACTAAATTAATTTTTTCAAAATTGGGAAAACAGTCTTTGGGCAATTTTAGTATATTATTTTCAAGTTTATTTATGGTTTTAAAAACGACTTTAACATTAAATTTACTGAACATTCTAATCAGAGTACTTGAAAATTTATTTATATATGGAAGTGATACAATTTTTGAAAAATCTAAGTCCGTTTCAACTTTATTAACACTATAATATTCTATTCTTTTATTAATATATTTATTTAAAAAAACACTAGGATACCCATTTTCTAATAAAGTGTTGTAAACAATGTTTATATTATTTAAATGATATTTTGGTTCTGATAATTTTATAGCTCTGTCAATTAATAAATAAACAATACCTATTTTAATATTAATGTGATGATTTGATTTAAAATTTAAATAATTGCCAGACCAAGTTTTCTTTTGATACCAATTTGTTTCAAGAAAACCATTGTTGAAATCTAGAGACACATCAAGAAAGTTAATTTTTTTGTTTTCTGCATTTTCTATTGTAAATTTTAAATATTTATCTTTAGTATTAAATTTGTTGAGAAAATCTTGTAATTTATCTTTAGGTAAACAGCAAATTGTGTCGTCTACATATCTGTAATAAAATTTAATAGGATAATCAATTTCATTAAAAATCTGTGTTTCATAATGTTGCATAACTATTTCTGAAACAACTGGAGAAATAGGGCTACCCATTGGGACACCAAATTTTTGTCTGTAAATATTATTTTGAAATTTGCAGAAGGCATTATCTAAACACAATTTGAGTCCCCTGATAAATTCAGAACGAGGTAATTTAGTATGTTTTTTATAATTTGACCAATTTAATTTAATTATTTCACAAACTAATTTGCAGTCTATGTTTGTAAACATGGATATTGCATCAAGAGATATTATAGTATAATAATAATTATAATATAATTATTATAATAATTATTATTATAATTATAATAATTATAGTATAATAATATCCATGTTTACAAACATAGACTGCAAATTAGTTTGTGAAATAATTAAATTAAATTGGTCAAATTATAAAAAACATACTAAATTACCTCGTTCTGAATTTATCAGGGGACTCAAATTGTGTTTAGATAATGCCTTCTGCAAATTTCAAAATAATATTTACAGACAAAAATTTGGTGTCCCAATGGGTAGCCCTATTTCTCCAGTTGTTTCAGAAATAGTTATGCAACATTATGAAACACAGATTTTTAATGAAATTGATTATCCTATTAAATTTTATTACAGATATGTAGACGACACAATTTGCTGTTTACCTAAAGATAAATTACAAGATTTTCTCAACAAATTTAATACTAAAGATAAATATTTAAAATTTACAATAGAAAATGCAGAAAACAAAAAAATTAACTTTCTTGATGTGTCTCTAGATTTCAACAATGGTTTTCTTGAAACAAATTGGTATCAAAAGAAAACTTGGTCTGGCAATTATTTAAATTTTAAATCAAATCATCACATTAATATTAAAATAGGTATTGTTTATTTATTAATTGACAGAGCTATAAAATTATCAGAACCAAAATATCATTTAAATAATATAAACATTGTTTACAACACTTTATTAGAAAATGGGTATCCTAGTGTTTTTTTAAATAAATATATTAATAAAAGAATAGAATATTATAGTGTTAATAAAGTTGAAACGGACTTAGATTTTTCAAAAATTGTATCACTTCCATATATAAATAAATTTTCAAGTACTCTGATTAGAATGTTCAGTAAATTTAATGTTAAAGTCGTTTTTAAAACCATAAATAAACTTGAAAATAATATACTAAAATTGCCCAAAGACTGTTTTCCCAATTTTGAAAAAATTAATTTAGTTTATAAAATAAATTGTAAAAATTGTAATTCATGTTATGTAGGTCAGACATCACAGCATCTAAAGAATAGAATATCTGGACACAAATATCAGGAGTCTATTAAAAGTAAAGAAACAGCCCTTTGTAAACATTCAACGGAATTAAAACATCAGTTTAACTTTTCATCAAATGATGTTAAAATTTTATATTCCGAAAAAAATTTACGAAAACGAAAAATTATAGAAATGTATTATATTTTAAAAGAAAATAGTTCAATCAACTTTAAAACTGATGTTGAAAAGTTAAGTTACATTTATTTACAGTTAATATCATAATGTTTGTGAACCGACCTTTATACTTTTAGCACTTTTTATATGAACCTTGGCTTGACACCGTTCTGATTCTCAATACTAAATCTGTTTTTCATTGACTTTCCTAACCAACAAAATTGAAACACATGTCAAACATGTGTTTCAAAAAAGTTTTATTTTTAATTTTAAATTTTTCAAAACAATTTTCTTAAAACAAACATATATAAAATAAACAATCTTTTCAATTCAACTTTCAAAATTAATTAAAGGTAAATTTTTGATAATTAGATAAAATATTTTAAGTAATAGCTGGTTCTTACAGTTTTACATTTTTACAGATGATTAAAATTATTATGTCTAAATAAAATAAACAAAATTAAACAGACGTGACAATGTCGGTATGTATTCTTCGAAAGAAAAAAAGAACTTTAATCTTCGTTTGAAAAAAATTCTAAAAAAATTTATCTTTACAGAAATGTATCTGATGAGGACACAGAATTCTGTGTCGAAACGCGTCACATTTTTATGTCAATTTTTGTAATAAACTAAAAGCCATTTAGGCCAAAATGAAAAAAAACATCTTTTAATTGAAATTTATATTATGTTACTTTTTAACTTTTACATCTTTACATTATTTTATGCTCTTTTATGCTCTTTTCAAAATTTAATTCTTTTATTCTTTTACTTTAAAAAAAAATAAGTTTCTCGATTAAAAGTTTAAAGTAATATTCAATTCAATTTTTGAATCAATGAAACATTTTTTTTGATTTATCAAATTTTTATTATTATTTTATATTATTTTGTTTATTTTCTTATTTATTTATTTGTTTTTTTTATGTATTTATTTATTTTTATTTCTTTTAATTATTTTTCAAAATCTTTTCAAGACCAAAAAAAAAATCAATTTTATTGAAAGCAAGAGACATTAAAATATTATATAAGAATGTAATTTTTAATAACATAGTCTATGTATTTATTTTTGGCTTCCAATCAAAAGTTAAAGAACTAAATAATTTAAAGCACAACAAGGACAATTATTTATTACCGCGAGAATATTTAAAAATAACGCAAAATTTCTATTTTAATCTCTTTTATTATTTCAAAAGGGTTTTCAAAAAAATCCAATAAATTATTCTTAAATGTAAACAATTATTAAAAATTTAAATTAATTTTTACTACTCATTATTTAATTATTATACTATATTAATTATTGATAAATTATTACTAATTTTATTGATAATTTATTTGTAAATAAATAAAATCAAAAGAATTAAGTTTCAAAAAAATATTTTTTTACATTTTTTTGACTAAAATAAAAAATTTTAATTTAAAAAAAAAAATAATGTAATAAAAGAGAAAACTAAAATTTGGTGCATAAGACAAAATTATATATGTTCAACGTTAATTTTAAGCTTATGTTGTTAAAATGAGATTTAAAATAACAAACATATATAAAGAGCATAAAAATGTCAGTTTTCTCCGGGGAACATATAACATTAAGAGATTATAAATTCGTATACGTATATAATTGGAAGAGCCAAAGTTTTTAGCCCAGTTTCCCGCAGACAAAATTCTCACAGCTTATTCCGATTTTCATCGTTGGCGCACACAAAATAAAAAAAAGAGAGAGAGAGAGAGATGGAAAAAAAGAAAAAGTTCAAAAAGAAAAGTCGTTTTAACTTGTTTTCTCCGATATATATGTATACAAAAGAGGGTTGTTTCTATCCCAATGGTTTATTACTTACACTTTTATTACTTAAGAGAGAGAGAGAGAGAATAAAATTAAAAAGTCAATTCGTAAATTTTCTTAAAAGTTCTGACATGTTTTTTGAAACCCTTTTCAAAACTAGACCATATAAGATGACATTTCTTTTTCTAAACTTTATTTATAACTATAGTTAAAAATAATAATTTAAATAAAAAATAATTATTTCAATATTAGAAAAATTAATTTCAAATATTTCTTTATTATATTATAAATAAAATTATATATTTAAATATATATATATATATAATTGGATGGATAAATAATATTTATTAACAATAGGAAAAGTTGTATTTTGAAAATATTGGAAAATATTTGAGTTACAAAAAATATTTAAAATATTTTGCTGATATATTTGTCGATGCAAAACTAGTTTCGGAATTAGAAAGTCGACAAGGCTTGTCAATAAATAAAGTGTATGACAAAATATTGTGGCATATTGACAATGAAATATACTATTGTTTGTCGTGGACAGAAATAGAAAATTATATTCTTATTTATCAGAGTCATATATTAAAAATATTTCTCCACTCATTTAATGTCAAAAAAAAAAAAAAAAAATATGGTTTCAATTTTGGAAATTTTATAATTTCAACATGTAAAGAAAAAAAAGAGATAAATAGTAAATAATAAAATAAAAAATTATAAATAAATTAATTTATTAAAAGGGACTTACCATTTTGTTGTCCAGAAGTAGCAGATTGGAAAATTCACACGATTTTAAAAACACGCACTGATCACTATCACTTTTCCTAACTAAAAAGAAAGACGCACACTGAATCTAAACTTTTTAAAATTTTCTCTACAAATGGTTTTAAATTCGCGAAACTATCACTTTTCCTAACTAAAAAGAAAGACACGCACTGATTCTAAAGTTTTTTAAATTGTCTCTTTAAACGATTTAAAATTCACGAAATTATCACTTTTTTGTTAATAAAATAAATTCGAGGATCCAATATTGTAATTTTAATTTTCTCTATTCTCGCGTCTTTCCATAAATGGCGCTGAAAATAAAAATAATTTTGAATTAAAGAAAACATTGCAACTGTTTTATTTATTTATTTTTTTTTAAATAATTAAAATTTTGAATCACAATTTATTAATATGAAAAATTACTCATCAAAAAGAAAATGCTACAACTTAATTTTTTTGTAATAAAATTTTTCCAATAAAATATGATATTTACCTTAATAAAAAATTCTCAATAATTTCAAGGAGATTCTTTCAAACTAAATAGCCCTCGGAGATCCCTACTTTCAAGTTAAATTTCCATTCAAAAAATGTGAAAAATAACCGTCAAAATAGACCGAGTTCTAAAAAGTCTGCAACTGAAGAATTTTGTCAAATTCACCACAAGCCATCGAGGATAGAATCTGCAAAAAAAAAATTAATTTCTAATTAATTAAAATTCATTTTATAAGATTTTTATTTAGTATTTATTTTTTACTTAAACTTAAATTGGGAAAATTATATACTAATATTTATATAATATATTTATATTAATATAAACGTAATATATGCTAATAATATTTTTGTTACACTATTAAAATTATCTGTATTCTATTATTATTTATTTATTATAAAAAAAAAATTTTACACGTGCACATATATAAATTGAAAATAACTATATTTTAGTATTTTTTACATATACAATATATTTAATCAAGATAATTTTTTAAAAATATAGTAAATAAATAAAAAAAAATTTGTAAAGTCGCAATCCTTCTTATCTAACACAATAAGAAAAAAATTGTAACGTCAACTGTTACAGATGACCTTGAAAGATCTCTCAAAAATCAATGTCAACTGACTTAATTATGCACCCTCCGACACATTGTCATTCAATATGTAAATCAGTTTTATTAATCCGTGAACTGAAAACTCTCTTTCGGTGACTTGACTAATTTTTTACATTTGTTTACAATGCAAATTTTTTACTTTATTTTATGTATTTCTCAAAAAAAAAGAAAGAAAAAATTCAAGGTCACATCTCTGAAATCATCATTATGTAATAAAAACTAATTTTTTGAAATAAAAACAACTATATTTTACATAATGACTTTATTATTCAATCATTTTTATTTTATACCATTTTGCGATTTATGTTTAATTTGACACAAATGACTGAAATTTAAATTTATAAATATAATATTTATAATTTTAAAGAAAAATAATATTTACGTCTATATGATGTAAGTTTTGTTATCGTTAAATATAATGTTCCCCAAAGATATAGAATATATAAAATAGTTTTTGTTTTAAAATAAATAGAAAAAATATATATATGTAAATTTAAATAAATTGAAATTTTTATACACTTTATATATAGGATAATACAAAAATTGATATTGATTTATTAAAGTAAGTTTATAAAAATTTATCAAGTTTTTTACAAGTTTTTATACAAAGCTTTTATTAAAATTCAAATACTTTACAAAAAAAAACAGTTTAAATTGCATAATTTATGGATAAATTTGCCATGTTATACTTTTAAAAGTTTACTTCATATATATGTATATAAATATCACCCTCTTTTCTTTCATCTAAATTCGCAGTAGTAAAAAAAAGTTTTAGTCAGACATAACTTTAACGAATTTTTGTAATTTTATTATCCATGCGGATAAAATAAAGCTTTCCCTAGAGAAAACAATTATATTGTTCTTTTATTTCTGTATCAGTAGTAGAAGTCAGTTTTGGTCAGACGTTTTCTTTTTTTTATTAGTAGTAAAACTCAGTTTCGGTCAGACAAAAGTTTTTCCAATTTTTGTTATATTTCTTCATAAGTAGAAAAAGTATGTATTAGTCGGACAATTAAATTTTTCTTAATTTTATATCAGTAGATAGTGAAAGTTAGTTTTAGTAAGACTAAAATTTTTCTGACCGACATTAGTAGTAAAAGGTAGTATTAACCAGACAGAATTTCGACGAATTTTTATTTGTTTGCGTAAGTAGTAGAAGTCAATATTATAGTCAGACATTTGAATTGTCGCAATTTTAGTTTCAGTAGTAAAAGTCAGTTTTGGTCAGACAAAAGTTTTTTTGCATTTTCGGTATGTTTTTATAAGTGGAAAAATAGTGTACTAGAATATTCAATTTTGATATTTTATGTTAGTAGTGGAAGTCATTTTTAGTCAGACTAAAAATTAATGAGATTTTTGATACTAGTAGTAAAGGACTGTTTTAGCCAAATAGAACTTAGCCAAATGTTTTTTATGTTTGTGTAAGTAGTAAAGGTCAATATTAGTCTGAACTTTCGCAATTTTAGTACAAGTAGAAAATGTCAGTTTTAGTCAGACGGAACTTTGACAAGTTTTTGTATCAGTAAGAGTAAGATTTTAGTTAGAGTTTTAAAAATTCTTATAATTTTTTTATCAGGAAAATTCAGTTTAAGTGAAACAATTTATTTCCTTAAATTTTTGTTATTTCTAATTTAAAAAAATACAAAATAAAAATATTTAAAATTCATAGTCGCTAATAATCAATCTAATCACCAATCTAAATAACCTGAAAATCTATTTTTAACTGTTAGATAAGAAAACTCCTCTCTTCATTTTTGCTAGTTGCTTACGTAATACTCAAGCATAGTCTCTGTACTGTAAAATAAATACAAACACAAGATTGTACTTCATGAAGATTATGTCTCACAATGTACATTGTAAAAATTTTATTTTGTCTTTTTATAGTCGTAAAAGTAAAGTGTCTTTTATATTTATATAAGAAAAGTAAAATGTTACATTTGCTGAAAAGCAATAGTTGAGAGAAAGACGTCGATTTATAAATATAATTTTTTCTATAAGTGAAGATAAACTCAATATTCGTCGAAAATATCATTAAATTTATATAGTACATTTATTATATATAGTATACCAGAAAGAAATTAAATGCACCTTAAGCACACATTGCTTAGGCAAACATGACGCATATACACAAATAATGTATATATACAGTGGGTGTGGTGTATGAAATTTTGGCGTAGGAATAAAATCCAATTAACTAAATTATAAAGAGAAGAAACAACAAAGAAATAAGGAATTCTATAAAAATTGAAGAAAAAAAAATGCGATATTTCTCGACTGAAAATGTCAACTTGATATTCTACTGAAAAATGTAGGATGTGGAGAGAGTATAAATATGAAATTAAAAATAAATATTTTCATCCTTTATCCAACCTATACATATACTAAAAATATCCACTGATTCTAATTTTGATTCTTATTTACAATTCCACTTCTACTGATTCTAATTTTTACTATCATTTTCAATTTCACTTTCACTGACTTCAAATTGGTGGAAATGACTGAAAATGATAGTGAAAAGTAGAATCAGTGGAAGTGGAATTGTAAATGAAGGTCATAATTAGAATCAGAGGAAATCGCAGAAAAAACCTGAACTCAAAATGAGTAGCGTATGCTACTCATTTTGTGGTGCAGCAAAAATGAATCAGGTTTGTGGCGCCACTTTCACTGTAAAAAGAAAGTACTAAAACAGTACCGATTTTAGGTATCAAAATAGAACCAAATTACAATTTAGTACCTGAAGTCGGTATTAAATTAATACCTTTCTTTTTACAGTGTTCTATGTCGTTTAGCATTGACTCATTTTGAACTGCAGCAAAAATGAGACTAGGTTTTTTCTGTGTATGGAATTAAAAATATAAGTGAAGAAAGAGACCATAGAAGCAAACGAATCGTAGGTTATGTTTACGACAGTTTTACCTTCATTAAAATTTTCTTGCACGGAGAAAAATGAATTGTTGTGGTTACTAAAAATTAAGTCCACACAACAATTCCAAATTGTCAATATAGAACAAGCAGTTCTATTTGTTTTTGGGACAAAAAAAATTGTTAAAATGGGATTGTTATTAAAACTATTCGGATTGTTCGGTGAACAAACAGAATTTTGTTTGATGAACAAAGAAAATTGTTATGGAACAGTTGAAATAACAAAACTAAATTGTTAAATCGGCAAAACAAATTTGTTTTATTAACAAAGCTTTGATCCGTCTAATACAATTTGTTCAGTTTCTTCGCCTTCTAAAATAATCGATAGCAGATTTCCGTAGGTCATATCACCAGTTTCATTTGCATTAAAATCTACACAGAAAATTATAAGGTATTAAAATAAGCTGCAACACTTATTATTTTAATCCAATTTTGCTTATTTTAATACCAAAATGGATTAAAATAAGCAAAATTGGATTAAAATAATAACCGTTGCAGCTTATTTTAATGTCTTTTAATTTTCTGTGTATGGAACATGCAGCTTCTGAATCAAATTCTTTGACCTGAAACCAAAAAATTATTTTGAGTTGAAATTTGTTGTTAAATAATATTTAATATACATTTTGTATTTTTTAAGGTGAGGTTATGAGGCTGACTACACCGAGAGCCAATCAGGAGGGTTAAATTTAATCCTCTGGTGCACTAAACATGTGGACTAAATTTTGCGTCTGCGCAGAATGATTGTGTATATCTGCGATCATGGTTGCAATAGGGAAGGTTTGAAAAGTTCGCTGGCTTTGGCGACCACGTGGTCGACTTTTCTAACCTAACTTTTCTAACCTGCCGCTATCGCAACCATGGTCGCAGATGTACACAAACATTCTGCGCAGACGCAAAATTTAGTCCACTTGTTTAGTGCGCCAGAGGATTAAATTTAACACTCCTTATTGGCTCTCGGTGTAGCCGCAGCCTCTATGTTCAATAATAACCGAGTATAACTTACCGATAAACGATGAAATTGTCTCTTCATCCATTCACTACACTTGCAATAGATTTCTCACTTTAACCGGATTCATTATTTAACAGCACTTTGTCATTTTGAAAAAAAAACTAATAATAAAAGCAAAAGTGGCACATGTGTCAGAAGCAAACGACGCGACGATCTGCACGCCAGTTTGCGAGAATTCAAGATAACCACGTGACATGGAACAATAAACCTGCCAGCTGAACAAAAATCCGGATTGTTCCATCAGCTATCGACAGAGAATTTGCTTCTGCAACTGTACGGAATTGCAAACTGAACAAAACTGACAACAAAAAAGTTCCCACTTTGAAAGATTCCCAGGAAAGTGCCCCCTGGGGGTCAATTACGTAACTTTTTCCGGATTCCACATTTCACATTCCATATTCCGGAATCCACTTTTCACAAATCCGAATTTTAAATTCCGGATCCCACTTTTCACATTCCGTATTTCAAATTCCGGATCCCACTTTTCACATTCCGTATTTCACATTTCGGATTCCATATTCTGGATCCCACATTCCGGCTTCCATTTTTCAAATTCCGTATTCAGGATACCACTTTTCACATTCCGTATTCCGAATTCTACATTCCGGATTACACCTTTCACATTTCGGATTGCACATTCCGAATCCAACATTTCACATTCCGTATTCCATATTTCGATTTCACTGTAAAAACTGGCCGTCTTAAAAGTGCAAAAAACGTCTTGTTTTAAGACGTTTTTCGCGTCTAAGACACCAAATGTGTCTTAAAACAAGACGTTCTTTGCAGTTTTAAGACGGCTAGTTTTTGCAGTGTTCCACATTCCGGATTTAACTTTCAGAATGTGTAATATGGAATCCGGAATTTTGAAAGTGGAATCCGAAATGTGAAAAGTGGGATCCGGAATGTGGAATCCCGAAAAGGGAATTTTGAAAGCGGGATCCGGAATGTGGAATACGGAATGTGGGATCCGGAAACAGTTACGTAATTAACCCCCTGGAGGTTCTATCAGAATTCCGCCGGAACTTTCAACGTAATTCCGTCGGAATTCCATCGAAGTTCCAAAGAATTTCCGATAGAACCTCCAGGGGGCATTTTCCGAGAAATCTTTCCAAGTGGGTTGTTAAAACAACATACATTTGTATTGACAACAATCCGAATTGGAATATCAACAAATCTACCGATAACAATCCCATTTTCCTCCGTGATGTTTCTGTAATATCAAAATCAGTTTATATTACTTATGTTAGATGTAATGAATACTTAATCATCATTGCTTTGTAAGAGTAATTATGTAAATCACTTAAAAATCTCAAAACAACCTATAATTTTTTTATTTCTAAGGTCCCTTTCTTCGCGACAAAAATTAAAGAAACACTTATCGCATCTCAAATGTGATATATACATACAAAAACCTCTGGAGGCTTAGCTTCTCACGTCATGCAACCCTTGAGCTCTTGAATCCAATCCAGAGATTGTAAAATCGTAAAACTTGTCCAGTTTTGTATTTTTTTCTCTCTCTTTTTTTTATCAAAAAAAAAAAAAATATATATATATATAAAAAGGACCTATATCGTGGCGATTGCAAGTAAATAGGTTAATAGAGTATTCGTGAATTCACGTGAATACGGGTCGCAGTCGCTATATCTATATAGGTGAACATAATCGCATGTGTGTATATGCGGATGAAACAACTATGTATATATAAGTTCAGGTTGGCGCTGCTGTGTTTGTGACAGAGCCGATGCACTCCGCACGGCGGGATGTGGCGCCAGTCGGCCTGCGTCTTGAGCGGGGACATGACGCGTTATAGTTTTGTTATATTCACACATATATATATATATGTATATTGGGGTGTTAAGTGTTCGTTGCTCCGACAGGGTCGTGGGGGGTCGTATATATATCGGGTCGGGGTTACCGCTCAGTAGGGGTTGGAATCCCGAGGAGCGAACTTCGTTTCATTCCTAAGCGCATAAAAAAAAAGAAACACTACTTCCCTCGCATGTGTTAACCAAACTAAACTCATGTGTTAAAAAAGAAATTCATTATTTACAACTGTAAAATCTGTTCAAATAATAAATTTTTAATTCTTAAGAAAATATTTAAAAAAATTCTTAACTTTTGAGATATGAAGAGAGAAGTGATTTAAATCGCCCGCGGAAATCAGAGGACAATATATAAACATAAGGGTATCACAAAAATAGCTTCAAGGGCTGATAATAGTGATAACAGAAAAGTTAATATTGAAAGTGATTCCTAAAAATTTTCAAGTAGAAAAATTTGTCAAAGGATCTTGACATTAATCGCAGGAAATTGATTGATCAAAAACGAGCAAAGACCTCGATTGATAATTATTATTTTAGATGCGGGTAAATTAACCCAAAGAAATACTTTTTCCCCTCTTTTGTAAATGATGAAGTTTTGAAAGTTAAAAATGTTTTCTTTTTTCTTAAATGAAAAAGTGATAATGATAAATTGTGTGTGAGAAGGAGGTGAAAAAAAAACATATATGCAATTATTTTTTTTTTCTTAAAGTTTGTTTTATGAAGGGTTAACTGGCATTCGAGGTAAACGAACGTGACCAGAAGAAAACATTCCTAATCGTCTGAAGCTGCGTCTACTTGGTATGGAATGGAATGCCAATAGGGTAGCTTCAAATCGTGCTCAGACTAACCAATTGCATTGCCTCTTTTTTCTTTTCCTATCTGACAATGAGTTTTCTTCAAGGCACGGCCGGTAATAGAAAAAAGCTACTCGATCTTCTAGAATGTTTTTGCTTTTCAATTTCACTAATTTCTTACTTTTATTCCTATAATCACTCAATTTTCTTTTGCGCAAACAAAATGTTTTCTTTTTGTCCAATAAAAAAAATTTAATTTATACGAAATTGCAAATTTATTTCATTTATTTCTAAATATGATTTCAGTGAAAAAAATATAAGAAATCAAATTCCAATATGAAGGATCATTTATAACACTGTGTTGGCAATATACGACTAGAGATAAAGAATTCCCAAAAGGCTCGTTTCGCTTTAAAAAAAAAAATCTAAAGCAAAATATAATTGATAATCTCGTCAAAATTCAGTTTAATTAAATAAAAGAAAAAAAATTAATACTATATATACAATTTTAACCAAGTCTTGATTAAAAACTAGGAATTTTTAGTGCATTTTAATTGAACAATTTCCTCACAAAAAAAGGAGGTGAAAATTCACTCTTTGCCCAGAATGAAGTTATTAGTAAGAAATATTTTTTTTTTAATTTTAAATTAGTCGAGAACTTAATTAACATCTCGTGGAATTAATTAAATATTCAATTAATCAATATCATTCCTTATTAAATTTTATAATGACTTTATTGTATATAGCAAAACAATTGAAATTGAAGATAGAGGGAGAAAAAGGAAAAATATATATATAAAAGATTTCTCTCCCTTCTTAGAATATCAATTTTATTCGCGTGGAACAGAAGATCACCTAAATTTTCACGAACAACGAATTTAACATTGTTTCTTGAAACTACTACTACTACTATTCTTTCCATTTGCTTTTCAAATTTATTCTTTTTCATCTCCTCTCTTTGAAACACAGAGGCAATGTAATTCGTTAAACCCACAAATGTTTCACTTTCAAAAACTTTTCTATTTCTTATTCTTTTCTTGAATTTTTCAATATACCGAAATCCACTATACTATAATATATTTTTCTCTATACCTCTCAGAAAATTAAATGTCACAAATATCAAATATTTAAAGTAAAATCGTAAAACAATCACATTTTTAGTTTTTCGCTAAGGAATTTATATTAAAAAAAAGTGATATTTACATTTTTTAAAAAGCTATTCTCGAATTTTAATTTAAAAAAAAATAATTACCTCTACGAAACTTAAATTAGTATAATATTTAAAAATGCGAAAAAATTTATATATTTTACCCAGAGGAATGATATATTTGTCTCAGAGCCAAATAAATATTTATTTGATTTAAATAAATAATTTTATTTACGACAAATAAATGGGCTAGTAACGCTTCACAGCGAAAGGGACCTTAGGTACAAAAAAAATTTTAGGTTATATTTGTGACTGTTAAGACTAAAAAAATAATTATTCCAAATTATAGAATATTTTTTTTGAAAAAAAAAAAAAAAATTTTCATATTTTTAAATATTACACTAACTTGAGTTTCATAGAGGTAATTATTTTTTTTAATTAGAATTCGAGAGTAGCGGTTTTTGAAATGTCACTTTAAAAAAAGAAAAAGCCAAGAAAGACTGAAAATCCGGAAGTTTTGAAGTAGAAACTTTTTCCAGGAGAGTAGTAATGAAAGAGCAGTTAAAAGGGAGAAATTAAATTTTATTTTTTTGACATTATACACGACTAAAAATGCAATATTATGAAACGAGCCTAAAGGGAAGTTTTTTTTATATTTATATTTCGAAAATCGTAATATTTAGTTTCTAAAGAGAAATTGTAGAATTTTTCATTTAAAGAATATATTTTTATCGACATTTTCATTTGAAAATAACACGTCAGTAATGAAAGAAAAAAAAGGGGAAAATGAAATTGAATTTAAAAAATAAAAAGCAAAAACTTGGAAAAGAAGTATTATCGCCTTTCAAATTACAATTTCCCAAAAAGGAAATTGAATTTCAAAATGGATGTATCTAATAATTTTCTATATTTTTTGTGGATATTTCTTAGCTTGCTGCACGTACCACTCTTAAAGTCATTGATTTAGAGGAACGATAACATATATGAAAGAGGAGGGAAAAGAAAGAGAGAGAGAGAAGCAAAAGAGTGATTCGTGACTTCCGGTTCGAAAAGCTAAGAAGTTGAAAGGTTTATAAGAGAGAAAAAAAAAAAGAAGAATGACCGAAAAATTGGCCTCAAATACATTGCTCTCTAAAATCGATAGAGGGCAATAGAAAAAAAATTGAATTGAAAAAGAAATGTTGTGCTTAGATATGAAGTTGGTCTCGCGACTGCGAGGACTGTCCTCGAATTCAACCTCTTCAAATTCTTCAACGACCCCTTCAATTTCCATTCCTCCTTCATTTTCTGCATCGTCATATAACTTGGTCGTTGATAAGCAACGACGAAAATCGAGACGTGGAAGTGGAGGAAATATTAGTCCGAACAGTGATCACGAGAGTGATGAAGATAGCAACATGCCAAGCATCAGAATTGTCAGAAATCGATCTCGATCCGTCTGCATGCCAGTACTCACATCTTCACAACTGCGACATCTTCATAGACGTGCAAGTCATCATGTGTATGTGTCCACTTTGCATTTTCAAATTGAGTTTTCGACAAATAGCATAACAAGGTCAAAGTTAATTAAAGGGAAGCACTAGCAAACTCCACTATATATCCTCACACCAAAATTACTATTATAAACATGTAGATACATTTACAAAAAAAAAAATTAATAATCACAATTTTTTTACAATCTCTAAATGTAAAGTAATGACATTTTTTTAAAACTAATTTCAATTAATGACTGATCTTACTGCTACATGGGAATTAGGATAATTAGATAATCTTTTTTTTCTAATTCGTAAAATGCAATCACTAATTTAGTTATGTTATTTTTACTTCCACCTTCCGCTGATTTTAAATTTTACTCTTATTTTCACTTACTTCCACTTATTCTACTTTTCACTTTCACTTTCACTTTTACTTTTCCTAATTTTCACTTTAACATCCACTGATTAATAATGTTCACTAATATTTTCACTTACGTTTCCACTGATTCTAAAGACTCTTATTTTCACTTTTACTTACACTGAGTCTAATTTTCACTCTCAATTTTACTTTCACTAATTTCGAATCAGAAGAAGTGGAACTAAAATTTAAAATGATAGTGAAAAGTAGAATCAGTGGAAGTGGAATCGTAAATTTGTGAAAATTAGAATCAGTGTAAGTGGAAGTGTAAATGAAAGTGAAAAGTAGAATAAGTGGAAGCGAAAGTGGAAATAAAAGTCAATATTATAATTAGTGGAAGTGGAAGTGACAATATGAGTAAATATCAGAATTAGCGAAAGTGGAAGTGAAAGTGAAATTACATAATCGAACTATAAATTTTTTACTAATTTAGATTTAGTATTTCAATTATAAATTCAATAATTCAAAAAGTTACTTATTATTATAATAATAATAATAACAAAAAATTACTCAACTTTTTTATGATCGTCTTTTGTCTTTTTTGATTTTATACTCGCAGTCACTCAATTCGATTTAACGACCAGATCTTAATTAAAAAACCAATTAGTTACAGTTTAAAAAAATTGTAATTATTATTGTTTTATAATACACTATAATAATTTTTTTTTATCTTAAAAAAGTCAATATAAAATATTTTTTAAAATTTAATTTTCCACCGAAAAGTATAAGAAAATAATATAATTATTGTCAAGTAATAATAGGTACAATAATTATTATCGAATAATATAATATTATTTTATTTTATTTTTTATCTATACGAAAATATTAATTGAAAAAAAAATTTAAAACAATTTTGCAATATTTCAAAGATCATAAATTATAATTAATGGCGTGAATTCTTTGTTTATTTTTATTAAAATTAAAATTAGGGATATAAAATTCTTAACCCAGTTTAAAATTGCGTATTGGAAAACGGATGCCAATTTCAGACAGTTTCATCGGCATGATATGGTATTTCGTCGAATAGGAAAAGATTTTTCTTTTTTTTTTTTTGTCGTCGAAGCTCAAGCTTCAAATTGAATGCAGAAAATGCACCTGTGACATGGTTTTGGAATGAAAGCGTTCTTTTACATATGAAAGCGTTCACGTTTAAGATTTTTAAACACCGACATTTTGACTTTAAAAAAAAAAGAAGAAAGAAAAAAAAAGTTTTTTAAACATAAAAACAAATGAACAAAATTAGAAAAAATAATTTAAAAAAGAAAACAATTTTAATCTCTTACTAATATTTAAATTAAAAAAATAATATAATAATATAATCGTATGAATTTAAAGACTAGAATACAAAAACTAAATATAATATAAAATATATATATATACATATGTAAAATTTATTATTAAACTACTTTTTGTAATTTAATTACTTCTATATGAAAAATGGAGTGATATCAAAAAAATAATTATTATATGAAATTCAATATATAGAGAACTACCGCACGAGACTATATATTTTAAATCTTATCTATGTGCAAAAATCAAACAACTATCACAAAATTCGCGAAAATTCATAGTCAGTGAGAAGGAAAAACCAATGCTAATGATATCCAATAAATATGAATAAATGAAAATTTCTCATATTTCGATATTCTGCGATAAAATTCCAATTTTATTATACCACAAAAGTGAAAATTGATTAATAAATTTTTCTATAATGTTTTCTTTTATGAGAAAATACTTTAAAAAATTATTTTTATTAAATTTTTCAATTATAATCGAAACTGTATTTTTCTGTTTTAATTTTGCCACAGAGATTCATTTTCTGCATCAAATGAACACTTTTAAACAATAAAAATAAAAGAAACCTTTTACTTTTTTTTTAAAAAAAAAGAAAGAAACCTTATGGCTTGCAAGTAAAACTTTGCAACCACCTCTGGACAATAAACTTTGGCATTTTTTTTTTTTTGTGTTTAACTTCACCAATATTGTCGGAAGCAGAGTTTTAATTGCCAACAGCTGTAATTCAAAAGGATTCACAATTAACCGTTACTGATAATGGAAAAATCGACTTTCCGTCTGTCTCCTTCTTTCTCTCTCTGTCTCTCTCTCTCCCTCTTATATATATCCAAGAGAACTAAATTCAATTTCCTTTCGAGTTTTCTAAATGTGCCGATGTAAAATGGTTTCAATTTAATTACGCAAAAGCGCAAAAAGCTTTCCTTTCAATTATACACCTTAAACAAACTGATTAAATTATATTACCTTTTCTAATGAAAAGAAATGTAAAAGCAGAAACTTTTGAAATTCTATACTTTTCAAGACAAATTTTTACCTTGTCAATATTTATTCCTATATGAGGTCTTTTTACATGTAATGTCCTGATTTAAAAAATTGATTTCTCGAAAAAAAGTCAAACTTAGGGAAATTGTTGTCCTACCTGATAGTAAAATATCCTCAAAAAAATTTTTGACTTTTTTGAAATTTTGGGGGAGATTTTATCAATTTTCCCTGACACCGCTTACTATTTAAATTTTTTTCTGTCTATAAATCAAAAATTTCAAAAAACGAAATTCTCCATTGAAAAGAGCATGAAAAAACCTTCAAAAAACATACCTGCCAAAATTTTTTTTATTGCATTTATAGACAGAAAAAATTTAAATAGTAGGCGGTGTCAGGGAACATTGATAAAATCTCCCCCAAAATTTTAAAAAAGTCAAAAATTTTTTTGCGGATCCTACTATCAGGTAGGACAACAATTTCCCCAAGTTTCACTTTTTTCGAGAAATCAATTTTTTAACTCAGGACATTACACGTAAAATGCATATAGAGCAATTTTAGAATTTGAAAAAAAAATTTCCATATTTTGGGAAAAAAATCAGGTAATAGTTAAAAAGGGTTTATTACTGTTTAAAAGCTTTTTAATTTCGATATATGAAAATTTTTCGATGGTATAAAATATATTACTTTGAGGATGATATTTATTAAAATATCACGTTCACATTATTGGATGTAATTAATCGTTTATAAATAAAGCGGGAGAATGGGTCGTGAATTTTGAAACGTGCCAAGTTCTAGTTTATCCGAAATATGCCAGGATCGTTATCGGTCAACGATATAGCAAACGTCAAATATTCTTCCGGTTTAGTTCCTTTTCACACGGGCTATATATATACACCATCCATCGTAAAATTCTATACAGTATATATATATGTATATGTACATATATATAAAGTCGATAACATTTCTCGCTATTCGTCCAAGTTCCTTATCCGTCGTCTTTTCACAGCCGACAACGAGACAGAGGGAGAGAGAGAGAGAGAACCCGGCGAACTATACCGCTGAGGTGCGACCTCAGCTCGTTCTCATTAACCCAGATATTTACACCAACGAGGGGGGAAAAAGGAGAGAGAGAGAGAGAGAGAGAGGGAGAGTATAGAAAGGGCAGTCAAATCAACGTGTCGCGTGCTTGACAAAATATTTTCCTCTCTTTAGGCCCCTCTTACTTTATAATATACCCATCTTTGATAAAAGAAAGCCTCTTTTGTTATACTTTTTTCTCGTGCATAAACTATAAAGAAAAATTTCTTTCCTTTAAATTATACACAGTAAGAAGAAAATTTTATTTTAAGACGCATCTGCAATTAAATTAACCTTATTAATTACCCGTAGGGAAATATTTTATGTTTCTGTGTAGTTACGGTACTGTTTTACTCAAACTATACTAAAACTATACTGAAACTATACTGAAATTATACGGAAATTATACTGAAACTATCCTGAAACTATCCTGAAACTATACTGAAATTATCCTGAAACTATACAAAAACTTTAGGGAAACTATCTTGAAACTATACTAAGAATATACTGAAACTATCCTGAAACTATACAAAAACTATAGGGAAACTATCTTGAAACTATACTAAGAATATACTGGAACTATACTAAAACGATATGGAAACTATCTAGTGCATCTAGAATATTTAGAAAGGTTCTAACATTTATACTATCTAGATTTTATGTACTTAAACTATATTGTAACTATCTAGTCTTTAACTATGTCTTGAACTAGGTGGGAACTATCTATTTTAAAAAAACTTAAACTATATTACAATTATCTAGTGTCTAGATACTAAAATTATAGAAACTGTTTAGTTTCTGGATACTTAAACTATATTGAAACTGTATAGATTCTAGATACTTGACTTATATGAAAACTATCTGGTGCATCTAGATTGAATTTAGAAAGTTACTCTCTAGCGATACTGTCTAGTTTTCAGATAATTTAACTATATTGAAACTATCTAGGTACTTGAACTATATGAAAACTCTCTGATTTTTGGATACTAGAACTATATAGAAACTGTCTGGTTCATCTAGATTGCATCTAGACAGTTATCTAATTTCTAGATACTTAAACAATACTGAAACTAAAATATAACTATATAGTTCTAGTATCCAAAAACCAGATAGTTTTCATATAGTTCAAGTACCTAGATACTAGATAGTTTCTATATAGTTAAATTATCTGAAAACTAGACAGTATCGCTAGAGAGTAACTTTCTAAATTCAATCTATTTATGTACTTAAACTGTGTGGAAACTGTCTAGTTTTTAGATAGTCAATCTATATTGAATCTATCTAATTTCCAAAAAGTTGCTATACAGTTATACTATTTAGTTTTTGGATACTTGAACTATATTGAAACTGTCCAGTTTCTGTATGCTTATACTATATAGAAACTATCTAGTGCATTTAAATTATGTAGAAAAATTTTTGACAGTCAAACTGTCTAGTTTTTAGCTACTTAAATTAATTGGAAACTTTCTAGTGCATCTATAGATTATTTCGAATATATTTAGAATAGGTTTCCTAGGCAGAATCTATATAGTTTCTCAATAAAAAAGACTTATATTATTTAATTGCGTAAAAAAATAATTATAAATTATTATATAAATATGTGTAATTCGGTTATTGCTTCTATCCAATTATAACTATAAATTTATGGAAAATTTCCAATCCGAGATTATCAATGTTAATCCGATGCAAATTTTTAATCCATTTTTACATTTTCCAATGTACATCAACTTTTAACTAAAATCCGATTAAATGGAAATTATCCTTAAAGTGAGTTTCAAAATAATTCCATCATACAGTAAAAAAAATAATCTTATTTTAAGAATAAACTTGAAATTACATTACTCATGAAAATAAAACTAATAGATTTTTGTTAATTTTTACACATAAATGTATGTAAAAATGTGAAACTCTTAAATTCCGACACATTAAGAGTACTATAAGTAAAAAAATTTATCAAATATATATAGTAAATTTAAAATTATAAATTTATAATATAAAACTTTTGAAATCTATTTTTTTATATTTCTTTTTTTTTAGAAAACGTTTTTTTTTCCGTAATTCAGTTATCTGTGAAAGTTATCTGAGGACTTTAATTATGATAGATAAATTTGAAGGTTAACACATATAATTAGATACAATATCAACTTAACTAAAGCATTCTTTACTATACATTTTATAGTATATGCGTATAGTATATAAATATAGTATATTCCATATGTATAGGTAAAAGTTTCTAATATTAAAAATTAATTATTTGAAACAAAGGAATGTTTTCCTTTAAAATTATTGTTTTCAAATTGTGATACTTCTCACGCATTAGAATATACCACGCAGAAATAATGAGTTAAACGTAAGAACAATACAAAGATTTTTTTTATCGCTTAATTAAAAAAGAAATCAATAAATATTATCCTAAATAAGCAATAAATCTACCTTATTCTCACTAGTTAACAACAAAATGTTTTTGTTTCAGATCATCAACAGACACAGTTTCGAGAAGAGGTGTTTTATCAAGAAGATGTTACGGAAGCGTGGAAATGGTAAAAAAAACAGGGATTTGTAAAAATCTTTCACAGCATGAAAATAAATTTTTTTTTAAATTTTATCTGTTCAGACACAAAAAACATTTTTTTTTCTCTCTCTCTCTCTCTCACACTTTTAGTTGCCTCAGATTGAGCAGGATGGCACAGACAGTGGAAGACGATTTCGCGTGGAAAATGGAGATTCACCAGGCGAGAAAGAAGAGGTGAGGATGAAATAGTAAAGCGGATTACTCAACTATACCCTTATATTATTTTGTTACATCTTGAACAAAGCGGAATTAATCCAAATGGAAAACCATTTGTCAGAGTTGAAAGAGAGAAATTTTCTATTTAAAGTCTGAATGTGTGTGCAGAATAAAACTGAAATGTATACAAAAAAAAAAAAAAAAAAAAATTCCATTAAAATTGACAATTTTCAACTGTCTACTTTATTTTAAATGGACAATTTTTCTTTTAAAACTATAAATATATAGATAATATTTATTTCTTAAAGAAATGAGAATTCTTTTGAAATTGACAAATTTTTCTACCCTGAGGAAATATTTCACGTTTCTATTCACTTACAATGCAGTTAAACTATTTTCTATATAGCTATTGTATAGTTGAATTACACCGAAACTAGCTAGAAACTATACTGAAACTATTCTGAAATTATACTAAAACTATACTGAAACTATACTGAAACTATACTGAAACTATCCAATGCATCTGGATTATGAGATTATTTAGAAAAGTCAAGGCAGTTATACAATCTAGTTTCTAGATACTTGAACTATATGGAAACTATCTAGTTTCTAGATACTTGAACTATATTGAAACTAGCTAGATTATTTACAAAGGTTAGGACAGTTATACTATCTAATTTCTAGACAGTTAAACTACATGGAAACTATTTAAATTATTTACGAGTGTTAAGAAAATTATACTATCTAGTTTCTAGATATGTAAACTTTATGGAAACTATCTAAAGCATCTAGATTTTATTTAATTTAAGGCTTCAAAAATTTCTTCAATTATTATTTAAAGTAATAATAATAATAAATAATTATAAAATTGTTTTTTTTTTAAATAACTCCGGAAAGATTTCAAGTAGGCAGTTTAGTTTGATATAAAACAATTATCTGTTTTTAAAGAGGATAGTCGTTTGCCATTTGCTTCTAATAACATTCTCCCAAGTGAGAACTGCATGGGCATTTCATATATATAAGAACCCTAACCAACCTTCCCTCTCATGTTAGTTAATCCCCTAAGAATACTCATGCAGAAAGTTTCTACAGAAATAGAAAATAAAAAAAGATGATGATAAAACTCAGTCAATTCAAAGTGTGACAATGTTAATTATAAATAATTTTTTTATTCTATACATTGAAAAAAAAATTATTTGATTCAAATAATCAATGATAATTAATTCCATTAAATGATATATTTGTTTCAATAGAAATTTATGGACATAAAAAAAAATGTATTAAATTCAAATAAAAATTATTTGGTAATATTTATTTGATAATAGTCAAGTAAGCAAGTATTTGAATCAAATATTTTTTTTTTTTTTACTTTTAAACTAATCGAAATTAAAAAAAAAAAAAAAATAATAACACTCTTTTTCCGCATGAACATTTGGAATCTCACAAAAGATGTTTGGTTCACCGAGTACGCCAGTATTGGAAAATCCAGAGTACCAGACACGATGGTACTTCAAATATTTTCTTGGCAAATGTGAGTAACATTCAAGTCGCCAAACTGTCTCTTTTCATTTATTTTTATATTTTTAAACAAGTGCAAATAATTCTACATATTTGAATTAGCGAACTGTAAAGTTATTTTTCATTTTCTCTAAACAGTACATCAAAATTATGTGGCCTCGGATCAAGAACGAAATCCCTTGTTCCTGTCGGTCGTTATTAGCGAGGGTGGTGATCAATGTGTCCCACACTACAGGGTGATTCTTTGGAGACGCACAGTGAGTTCACTTTGATCATTGTACTATACAAAAAAAAAGAGTTAAAAAACGATCGATATTCTCTAACCTCGATTTATTTTTTTTTTTTTCTTTTCTTCGCCCGTTGCAGGGTGCTCAAAAGATATCACTGCCTTACTCGCCAAACAAAACCATGACTGTCAGGCAAATTTTGAGGTAAAAACAAATTTCATTTACTGACAATTAAAATTATTATAACTTTACAACCAAAGAAATTTGATATTTCACTCTCATTAAATTTGTATCAAGGAAAAAGTCATTAACTGATGACTGAAAAAAAATTTGATTCAACTAATCACTATTTATCAAATAAATATTGATCGAAATAAGTTTTTATTTGAATTAAATAAATTATATTTGAGTCAATAATTTCTGTAATTGTAACAAATTTATTTAATTCAAATAAAAATTATTTGTTTATAAATATTTATTTAATTGATTGATATTTGTCAAGTAATCGATTATTTGAAGCAAATAAAAAATTTTCTCAGTGTAGAAAAAAAAACTACTCAGGAAATATTTGTAAATCCATTGCAGAGATTCTTCCTTTTTCAAATACCAGGAATTTGTATTCAACACATGTATTCGAATATTTCTGGAAAGGAAATTCTTTTTTTCCCCCTTTCCTTTGGCTTTGTTCTGTCAGATTGCTACCTCCTAAAAATTCCTCACTTATAACTCTGCGGATGAAAAATTGTCAAAAATGTCCCTGTATCTCATAGAGAGAAAAACCTTGACGAGGATATAAAAAAAGAAAATGAACGAAAATCTTCCTTATCAAAACCGATTTTTTTTTTATATAACATATAAAAAAAAAATGGGTAACTGACACAACCTGATCCTATCAATGAAATACCTCATATATATCTCATTACAGCAACTTCTTTGGTCTCGAAAAACTAGACAAAGCCCCGAGGGAAATATTTTCACCAGAAATACAAAAGGTAATTTTGTGAAAGCTTTTTATTTTATAAAGAGATTTTAAAAGATTTATTCTTTAATAAAAGAACAATATACAATATAAGAGGATACATATATTTGCGTAAAAAAATATATATGATTAATGAAATAATATTATACAGGATCTTTTGTTACTTGAAGAACAAGAGGGTTCGGTGAACTTTAAATTCGGTGTTATTTATGCGAAAGAAGGTCAAACAACTGACGACGAAATGCTATCGAATGGTAATGAATTTTCAACCTTTTTTTTTCTCTCTTCAACTTTTACAAACAAGAAAACTTTTTCGATTTGACTATTTCTTTTTTTTTTCATTTTTTTTTTCTTTGCAGAAGGAGGCAGCCCAGGTTTTGAGCGCTTCTTGGAAACTCTTGGGGAAAGAATAAGGCTCAAGGGTTGGGACAAATACAGAGGCGGTCTTGATGTAAAAGGTATGAGCAGTTTATCTGATTTATTTGCTTCGTAAGAGAGAAAACTAAATCTAAAAGAAAGAAGCGGAAAAAAAAGTGTCAGTAGGTTAACCAAACTTTCCTATTAGTCGTGTAACGAAAAATAAATAATCTTTCTTATTGATTTATTTAATATTATTTATATTTATATTTTATTACTTATTCTCCTACCTTATACTCATAGCATGCCAATAAACTTCAGATTATTTACCTGCAATATAAAAAAATACATTGGTTAAAACATTTGTTAAATTAAAAAATTTTATTGTTTTCAAAAAAATTTGTTTGTTACTGTTTCCAAAGCAAGTTGCCATGATAACAGTTACCATAACAATCGTTACTATAAGAACCATTACCATAGCAACCGTTACCATGACAACCGTTACCGTTGCTAAGGTCATTTTTCCTTAGCAACGGCTGCAATTTTTCAAATTTAATAACAGGTGACATGACGGGAAAAGAAAGTATTTACACCGTTTATGCTGGCCATGAAGTAATGTATCATGTTAGTACAATGTTACCACATTCAAAAGATAATCCACAACAATTGGAACGAAAGCGGCACATTGGCAATGACATTGTTAATATTATTTACACGGATGATTCAACATTTTTGGAAACATTCAATCCAAATTGCATTAGAAGTCAATTTACACGTAAGTAATTTTAATTAAAATATAAATAATAAAAATTTGTACTTTTTTTAATAATGCAATTAAAAATCAGTGTTTTTAAATTATACTATATAAAAATACCAAAGTTTATTTAAACTACTATAATGAATTTGGAAATTAAATCATTTGACAAAAGCTCGTGTCAAGAGATTCAGATTTACATCGCACACACATACAACATATATATATATATAGTTACTATGTATGTGTATATCTATGCTAAATGTTAAGTCAATGGTAGGGACTGTGGCACGAACTCCTTAAGTGAGGTAGACCGTATGTAGGTTAAAATAATTGTTTTAATTGGTGCAAGGTCACCTTGATTTCCGCGAAACCATTTAACAAAATCTATTTTCCGGTATGGTCAAACGAAATTTACAAATAATTGTTATATTCATTCAAACAAAATTTTTCTAAGAAAAATAAAGAAGACAATTATTTATTTTTCAATTATAAATAAAGCATAAAAAAAATTAATTAATATTTGATTATATTTTAAAGAAAGACTATATATATATACTTGTATAGAGATGTAGGTCAATATGTTTTTCTCGTACCCGCACAATTTCTATTTATTTTGCATTACTTGTCGTTTAGTAGAATGACAATTCTGCTGGTTTGAAAAATATAAGTCGGAAAGTTAACAGTAGCAAATAGAGTGTAATATATATATATATATAATTGAGGGCAAAGTTATTACAGAGTATATAACAACTTGCGGGGAAATATGAAAATGAGTTGTGAGAGTTTCTCAATGTATACAGATGTATTTGCTGTGATATGCAGTGAAGAGGGTGGAAATGGATGGCGAATAGCTATTTACTGCGATGAAAATGTGCCTCTTTTTGGTCCAAGTCTACCTTGTCCTCCATTATTCGAAGATCAATGTAATTTCCGTGAATTTCTACTGGTCAAATTGATTAATGGAGAAAAGGCAACATTTGATACGCCAACATTCTCAAGAAAAAGGGAAAGAACACTAGACACACTATTAAGAGATTTGTATCAGGAACATGCTCAAGAAAGTAAAAGCAATGTGAGTTTTTTTTAAAATTTTTCACCAGTTCTTTATAATCTATAATTGTTAAAGTTTTAAAACAAAGGTTGTTTAAATTCTGATTAAATAACACCAGAGTATTCTCGCAGAATGTAAACATAATGTTAACTAAATCTATATTAGTGAAATATACCTATTCACATAAATGGACAGTAAATTGTGTTTAGAGGTTACATTCCTTTCAATTAGCAGTATACGAATTCCATTGATTTCAGAGTGCAAATGCATCCTGATAAATTACGATAGATTCTTGACAATGACAAATTACGATCGCGCAAATAGCTTTCTTTTCTTTTCTCTATTCTATTTGAATGACTTTTCACTTTTAATTTACTTTTACTCAATAACCCTACGACCTTTCTCTCCGATTGTTATCCTTTTAAATTTTCATTATAAAAAATTAAATAAATAATGAAAAAAATTTTTTTTTCTGCTTTTTCTATACTTGATCTATTTTCCAACCGCACTTCCACATATGCTACCTAGAATAAATTTGCAACAGATTGCCACGACTGTTTTGTTGCATACAATGATTTAATAATGATGTCCCCGATTTTCTCAACATCATTTTTCATATTGGAGATTGAAAAATTAATTAATATTAAAAAAATTTAATTTAATAAAATAAAAGAACTAAAACTGTTTGTTTCAAATAAACTTCACTTTTTAAGACAGAAACTTTTATAGTGTCAGAGACAAAATTACTTGTTAAAGGGAATAACTTTTATAGCTGGATAAAATGACCTTTTAGTTGGAAAAATGTTTTAGTGTCAAACAAACAATATTTTCCTCTTTAGAAGGCGTATATCCACTATATTTAATATTAAAACGATATATTTTTAAAAACATAAAGACATAATATATAAATAAAAAACACAATTGTAAAAACGACAAATATAATTTTAATTTATAATATCAATTTTTTCGAAAAATAAACTTAAAATGTTTTTTAATTGTAAAAACTATGCCAATTGTAAAGAATTGAATCTTTACTAGAGAAACAATTTCAAACTATTCAACAACAACAACAGACAAACAAAAAAAAAAAACTAAAAGCAACTAGTTAGATTTGTTGCCAAATCCTTTTGAAGACAAGAAACTAGGACAGACATTTCAGAGTCGAACATAGAAAACTATTGACAAAAGTAAAAGAATAAAGGACAAGTTTTTCTATTTCTCTCTTTTTATCATATTGAGAATAATGTAAAAATCTCATCCTCGCAATTATATATATAAATGAAAGTTCATGATTGGGTACATTTGCAAAAGCCAATTTTTTTTTTTTCAGAATATGCTTAATCGTCGAGCATTGTCCGACGTTGTAGAAACGCCAGGACGACGTCGCGAGGAAACTCGAGCAGTTGAAATGGTACGTGTTGGACAAGCCCTAAAATTAGAAGCTATTGTCCGAGGACTGGCTCCAACATCAATGGCAACTGTTGGTCCTTTAAAACCAAGACCATGGGAGCCAAGATGTATATATCCTGATTTTCCACACGAGATTATTTGTGGTGATGTATGGTCGGATAGTAAACTTATTCTAGCAACTGAATCAGGAACATTCCTTTTAGAGGGTAAGGCATGTCAATACTTCAACTCAATAATATATCTACTTTATTTTTCCGATAATATACATATATATGTATACGTAATACTTTCTTTTACTGACAATTTTCATGACCACAAAATGTAAATCTCTCTTACATTTATTTACATAAAATATAGAACATTTTTCTCTACTAGATGCATCAATAAGAGAAAAATATATATATGACATGACCCCAATAACATTTAGGAGATTTATTTTTTTAGAATTTATAGACAGGATTGACAGAAAATAAATTCCATTTTCAACTTTTACTGTATACTATTTTATACAACAAGAAATTGGGTCTGACCCTTTTACGAATTACGTACAGGTTTTGTCTGACCCAACATTCACTGAAAAATTTGGTTTTTACAACAAAACGTTTGGCTGGTATTTTTTTTTGGTACGTTTTAAGCATTTGCTTATTGTATTCTTTAATATTCTGTTTAAATGAAACGGAAACAAAATATTTCAAATTCATTTTAGTTTGGTATCAAATGTTACAAAACCAACACTGAAAAAATGGTTTGGTTTTGACGACAAAACGTTTGGTTGGTATTTAAACCCAAATTTTGTTGACGCAACAAAAAGATTTTTGGTTTAAATACCAACCAAATGTTTTGTTATCAAAACTAAATCATTTTTTAACTGTTGGTTTTGTAACCACTGAAACCAAACTAAAAAGAATTTAATTCTGTTTTCAATTCACTTAAACAGAATATAATCAAAAATACAATAAATAAGCAAATGTTTCAAGTGCACATAAGAATAAATTAACTCAAACATAAAAAAATAAGAGAGAGAGAGAGTTTGTAAAATTGATCTACGTTTGAGAAAATGAAACTCGCGCGCACATAAAACCGGAATTATATAGGGATCACATTGGGAGACATAAAGTGACGTAGATCGGCTCTCGGGATAAAATAAAGATTATCTGAATTGAAATAATGCAAAAAGTAAATTGACTCGCAAGTACAAGTTTCCTTGATCATAAAATACAATAGTTATTCTACAAAAGATATATCGAGTATTAGTTTTCTATATCCAAATGAGACAATTTGAAAAGAAAGGGTTAAGATTGTCTCAAACGGAAAAAAAAATTAGAGCAAAATACAAAATGAGATACTGAACTTCAAAACTAGGACAAACTGGAATAAAGACGCGACTGCATCGTATAAAAATATATATATCAAATTAGAAAAAAAAATTGATAAGAGAAGGGCAAATACTATGATTAGACTAACATAGATAATTTATCGTTTCATTTTGATAAAATGAAATTTTATCAAAATATTTACCCTTAAATGTAGGTTAAAATATTGATCACACCCCTTTTTTTTAAATACATTCATATCTTCTTTGTACTTTTTTTTTTGTAGACGGCATTTCTCATCGTCTTCTCTTTGACAAATCGGTGCAAATCAAACAGTTGGATGTAGTTGAGCAACACGGAATCCTTTTGTTTCGAGCAGGGGACAAAGGTAAGGAGAGCAACGTCCATGTATTTCGATTAAGTGAACTGGAAGGAGATCTCTTGGCGAATATGGATCTCAATGATGATGATGAGGAAGAAGATAATCTCGAGAACTCTGCTCATTTATCAAGTCCTGGACCTACTTCAAAGACACCCGCAGCCAAGAATCGTTCTCAAGTTAAGGAAAGAAAATTAGAACGCACACGAGGTTGTAATTTATACAGCATCACAAGACAAGGTGGCTCTCATTTACGAATGGTGTGTTGGATTAAATTTTCAAAAATATGTTTCTTTAAAACAAGTGTTAAAAACTTGTTCAAAATACTTGTTAGAAAATTTAATAATATATTTAAATAAGATGAAATTGGATCCGCAGATAATATAGGAAACAATGGTTTTCAGTGTGTTGCAGTTGGACGAAGGTTAACTGTTCTCCAATGGAAACACAATGCAGCTTGGACGACTTGGTGTGCATCAGCAGATACTGATACTGTCGATGGTTTTCTCCTTTTAAAGGAATTGAATGCCAGTGAACAGCCCTCCTTAGTGACTATTATTGAAAGCTCAGAACTTGGAAATGAATGGGTACTTTGCTGCGGTTTACGACATAGTTTCGAGCTAATTTCGGCGAATGGAACATCAAGAATTCTTCATCTCGAGGGAACTGTCAAGCCTCATTTGATTGCTGCTCTAGATCTTTGTGAAGATGAAGAGCCAGAAGTTTTATTATGCTACAATAGTAGGTCTCATATATATATATATATTTGAAACGATCAATAAAAAAAAGAATCCAATCACTTTAATATTATAGAAAGAGAAATTATCAAAATCAACGAAACACTTCTTTTCAGATACATGTCACTTTCAAAAATTAACGGAAGAAAATGCATCTCCAACGGAGTTTGATTTTAATTGGAACTCCGTACCTGTAACTGTTGGTATGAAATTTGTTTGTTTAGCCTCTAATCCTATAATCGATTTCGGAGAATGGATTTTAACTATTAAACAATGGCTTTTCAGCTTGTGCCTTCCCCTACGTGATTGCCTTTACTGCAGACATCATGGAAATTCGCTTGATAATAAATGGAAATTTGGTTCATACTATTGCAATGCCAAATTTGTGTTTAATATCATCGAAACGAGATATTTTCTTCGCAACTACTGCTCCTGAATTTTTAGCTTCAAAATGTGAAAAAATTCGATTGGACACCAATAAGTCAGAGAAAGAAGAACGAAGTAACAGTCCACCGTCATCTCAAAACAGTTTTCAAAGTAAATTCTAATTTCAATTTTCAGAAATAAAATTTTTTCGCTAATAAACTAAAAACAAATTATTCTTTAACAGGTTCACAGGGTGACAACAAACCAATGAGAATCTATCGCATTCCTTTACAAACTCTATCGAGAACATCAGTTACCAGTTGCAGTGAAAGAAGATGTGCAAGTCCGGCAGAACCAAATGATAAACCACCTACAACAAATGATAGAAATTTCCTCAGTGCAGAACCACACAGATCTTTAAGCAGATCATGCAGCAGTAGTCCAACTCCTAGTTTAGGGACATCTATTTCCAGCTCTTCGAGTAAATAATAAGAAAAAGAATTGTATTTTAATATCCGTTTATGCCAAAGAATAATGATTTGCTAATTAACGAATGTTAAAAATTTAACTAACAGAATTTTGAATAATACCAAATTTTACTATACGGATAAGTTGAAAAGTCAATTTAAGATAAAAAGAAAAAGAATGAATGGCAAAAACTTATTTGTATGAGGCAGCAATAAATATAAGGTAAAAATATTATTAATACAAATTAATTTATTGCAAGAAAGAAAAGAAATGAATAGAGAAAATCTTTTTTAAAAAAAAGAAAAAGAGTAAAAGCAGTAAATTATAATTCAAAGCAAAACAATCAAAATGTGTTGTGAAAAAAAATGTCAATGCAAATAAAAGTTGTGTTACATCTAAAAAAAAAAAATCATGAGAATAGGGACAAGTAACTTTAATTATAAATTACAATTTACAAATCTGGTTCACAATAAAAAAGAATGCAGTATTGCTATAGGCACATACTGCAGTGCAAGTGAAACACATTATGAGGTCAACGTGCGCGGATCGATATAACACAACTTTTCAATGCACATTACGACAATGTTAATTATTTAAAAAAAAAAAATTTTAATCTAAGATTCCATATTTATTGTAAATCATTGAAAAATGAAAATCAAATAATAATAAAGAAAAAAATAATAATGTTGCAAAAAACGTCATTTTTCTCATTTTAGACAAAATCAAAATGTTGAAATTATCACTCAAAAATAATTATGAAAAAACAATTTCCTAAGAAATTGTTAAAGACATTTAATGTCAAAAAAAGAAGTTATAAAAAAATAGTATATATTTATGATAGTCACAGAATCTAATGTAACAAAAAGTAAAACTATTTATCGACTGTAGATAAGATTTATATATAAATAATTTATGGTGTAAAATTCTTTAATTTATAAATATTGTTGTTTAAGAGGAAATTTAAAAAAGCAATTGAAATTTATGTTAAGAATATATTTAAAAAAAAAGTTATAGTAAATTAATTGTATCTGTAATTGACTGTCGGTTATGAAGAGATTTGACTTATCATCATTTTCATTCAAAAAAAATAATGTCTTTTTACATATATAATTAAAATTGTGATTGTTTTTCATTTAAAAATTTTTTCAATTATTTAATAATGATATATTATTATAATAAATAGCGTTCATTTTTTTAAAGAAAATGTTTTATAATTAATTTATATCTCCTTTTTTTATGAACTATTTCTGATGAAATTGATTCGAATCATAAATTTCCCAGTCTCCTTCCTTATTTTCTCTAATTAGCGAATATCAAATTCAAGAATCTTTCAGATATCTTGAATAATACGAAATATCAAATCTGCAAATCTTTATACATACACAAATTAAATAATACCGAAATAATTCTTGGATTCATTGACACTATCTTTATATGAATTACGAAAATCTGCATAAAGATTATATTTTAATCAGTCCTCATGGATCTGTGACCTCAGATAAATACTACTCTAACCCTCGTTAAAGAATACTACATAATGACATTTCCTGCAGGTGTAATAGACCACTAAATTAAAATAACTCCCATATACGGTTAAACCAATTTTCTTTGATAAAAATTGCGATTATTTGAACCAAATAAATTATTTTTTTTTCATAGAACCAAATATAATTATGAATCAAATAAAACGAAAAATTAAATCGAAATTTTTTCAAAAATTTTTTTTAAAGTTTGCTATATGCAATTGAGAAAATTTGCATCACAAATTTTATTTTTTTGACATAAATTTGCACGACAGAATGGTAAGATGTGATATGTGGGATGTTTGATTTGCATGTAAGAAATGGAAACTATAAATTAGAGAAATCTCGATTTAATATCTCATTTGTTAATGTTAATTATAAAATAGTGAGAAACCAAATCAAAAATGCAAAAAGAAATAAATTCATTTGCAAAGGACCGCAATTTTAAATGATATAAAGGTAGAATAAAAATTTTCTCATATTGTACGGAGAACGGCGATAAAGCATAGCGAGTTAAATTTTGAAGAGACGGCCCTGCATGTGACAGACAGTCCCTCTAGCGGCTATGCACTGTATCACATTTTTCCGTGCAACCACAGTCAGCCAACAACCAGCAGTTTGAGCTCGTGACGGAGTGGAGTGTTGCTGGAGCGCAACACGGCGAGTCCGAGAGGTAGCCAGTAACACGAAAGGCTTGTAACTCGTTGTAACATAACGAGGTGTGCCGTTTTGAGGTCTACATCTGGTTTGCCTGTTACCTACGTAGTACCAGCAGCAACAGCAGCAGGGACTGAGAACCAGTGCGGACGTGAAAGTGCCGTGTGTCGTGTGTGTCTCATATATCGAAAAACCTCAAGGAACAAGATTAAGTACGAAGAACGTCTTGATTTAGGATTTCAATCAACAAATGTGTCTTAGTGTTTTGGACCATCACAAAAAAAAAGAACAACACGGCATGAGGTAAGAAGGATCATTAGGTTAGGATCCTTTAAATTTTACCGCGAATTCATTTTTCACTAACAATTTAGACTTATTTGTACGCTAAACAAAAAGAAGAAAGGGCTTCAAAAAAAAATTCGGAAGGGGAAAGAATGCCGAATTGAATGTGTCGGCACCTGAGAATACTGTGCACCTTCTTCTTTCTTTCCTGCTTTCTTTCTGTCCCTTCCCGCCTCACCCTCTTCAACTGTCCTTTTCTTTATCGCCTTCTCTCTGCTCCTTAGCATTTTTTTGCAGCGTCGAGTTTCGTAACCACGACTGCTCGCCTTTCGCGAGCGGTTTGTCACAATGTTGACGGTTGCTATTTTTCTTCACCACCTGTCCTAAAAGACACCTAACCTCATCTTGTGCCCCGGTACTGTGAATGAATCTTGTTGAAAGCTTCTCAGATGGTAACTTCTAGTCAACTAGTTAGGTTATACCAGCAACAATTAGAGAATCAAAAAGAATAAACAGCAACGTGTATTAGGAAGGCTTGTTGATATTTCGGCGCGCAGGCTTTCTGGCTTGACAGCGCGACCGGCCTTGAGCCTTTCCTTGCGTCTCTATCGTCGTCTATCCCTTCCAGAACTACTCCATACTATTCTATATCAGTGTTTCTCAACCATTCAGGGCCGCATCGTGTGTGTTACACCAAACCAGATAAAACAAGATCAACTCAACCCTGATTTCCCTGACATTCTTCAGAACACGGATTAGTCTCGAAAGGTTACTATAAGGATTCCGTTCTATACATTCTGTTGCATAAGAAGGAGGTTGTTTAGAAACATTAAGGACACCAAATGTGCAAATTAAGCATGCATACAAGATTGTAAGAAAAAGAGAGAGAGAAATTGCACAACCAAAGGATCTAGTCTTAAAAGTGTTTAACAAGTCTTTACTATATATGAAGAGAGACATTCTGAAATCATACAAACTCAATTACATTGAAAGATGATAAGAATTACAATTTATTTGTATTACAGCAAAATGCAATTGAGTCCATGGTTCTTTTGATAAGAATATTAATATAAAATTTCATCAGCGAATATTACAAGAAACTTGTTTATTATGACACCAATCTTCTCTTCATCGGATTTTACACAACAGGAAATATATATGAAATGTCATTCTGAAAATTAATTAACACGAATTCGTCTTTAGTACCAAATTCCTTAAAATTTCACAAGATTTGTATATATAACAATATATATTGCAATACATTTCAAGTCCTCCAGACTTAAAAACTGGTTCATCATTTTTAGATGATTAAAGTATTGATTATGTCAATGAATTATGAAAAACATGAATTACAAAAAAAAACTGTTGTCGCAAACTGTCTAATAAACTCTAAAATAATCTAATCGATTTGTAAGCAAAATTCATCATCGTTCTACTCTAATTTCACATGTTCTCTAATTTAAAAAATATATACTTTTAACGATTCAATAAAGTGAAATTCTACATAGATGTTCGTAAACTATTCAGAACTAGCGGAAGTGGATTTAACGAGTTTTGCTCTTGAGTTTTACTAGCAGGTTTAAAGGTGTGCCTGGAACAAGTTAATCAACCTCCGTTTGAATTAAGAACTATTGCCAAAGGCCTTGAAAATCGAGTTTTAATGTAAAATCACATACGAGGATGCTCTCTCGCTTGAATTATAATTTCCCAGTGGTGAAAGAGAGAGAGAAATAGAAAGAAAGAAGATGTGCGGCGATGACTCACTGTTAGAAAGACTGAATAAGATTAACAAAACGAAAAATAAATTGATGAGACCTTTCTAAGACAAAACTCTTATCATTTATTTTATGATGTTAGATTTATTTTATGAAAAGTTCAATGAAATAACTTTCAGTAAAGTAAAAATTATTTCCAACATCTATATTTTTTCTAATGGTATAAATTTCAAAACGTCTCTTAGAAAAACTTCTAAATACCCTAACATAGTAATAGCTTTACATAATTTAATAAAAAAAAAACCTTCTAAACTTGCTTTAATTTAGAATTTTGTTAGCATGACCTTCCAGCGGCCTTGATTCATCAACTATGGTTATAAAAAATGACCAATCTGTCTCGAATTTCAATTCGCATTCACTCTCAGGAACCTGCTTTTGAAAGAATAGAGGAAGTCCACAATATCTTTTGTCCAAGTTCCGTGTTTCTCAATAGAATATAAGTTACCTGTGTAACTCATATCAATGACCTGGCTTAGATTTCATGCAACGAACTGAGAAGCACTGTCGCGAACCCTACCCTCTACTATATATCCCTCTCTCCTTATATACTCAAAGCCTCACCTCGCCTCAGGTCCTTCACTTTTTTTTTTATATGTATTCTTTCTCGTCTCGTCTGCTGCTCTTCTCACCGGTCTCTTACTCTTCATCCCGTATATATGTTCTCATCTTTCTTTCCTTTCTTTTTCTTCTCTTTCCTCTCTCTCTCTCCCTTCTACTCGGCACACGACGAATCACTAGTGCGTTCCCAGGCGGGAAAGTAATTGGTCTGCAGTAGTTGGATAAAAGAATTGGAGAAGGGGTACTTTGATGAAGGTGTTGGGCACGCAAGGGATGGTGGGAGGTAGAATAAGAAAATCGTTCCTTTAAAGAGAGAGAAAACGAAACGGGAACGAATCGACGGGGCGGTAGCCTAGCGGTATCAAGAGCGATTACGGTAAGGCTTATTGGTAATGATTGTATAAAGTGCTCTCTTGGAGGATTGCTGACACTTTTCGGATTTCAATCAGATTTAACTATAAAGTAGCGAAAATTCTTTGACACTTAGAGAGGATTCCTTTTCATACTCATTCAAGAAAGAAAGAGATATCCAATTTCTCTATAATGGAAATTATTCAGCTTCATCAATAGTTAGATAATGAAATACTCTTTGCTTTCACTATATAGCTAATTAATAATTCTCAAAGATTCTAACCTTTTTGCGTGCGAAACCTTCCTCCTCCTATTAATAAAAATCAATCGTAGTTATATACATTATCGTGATTCATAGTTCTGGCACAAACACATGTGTGTGTGTGTATACAGTTCAGATATAAAAAAACAACCTGGCTTTTTCTCTCTCTTGTGTTTGTGCCGCAAACCCGCTCCCGTAATCGGCCTGTTGCGCAAGTTTCTTCGGCGATCTTATCAAGTTAGAGTTTCTATAGACGCGTGAATATACATGTGTATTGTACACACATATATGTAAAATGAGAGAGAAAGACTCAGAAACATATACCTATTTTCTATTATAAACGTCGTATAACACCCTCTACAGAGAAGCGACTTGCGGTTACCTGACCGCTTGTTCGATCCTTGAGATGCGGATAGGTGACTTATGAATATTGATGAATCTTTCTCAACGCACTAACCACTCTACTTGATTTTTCATCACTACAAAACCACGATTAATCTTCATCAATAGCATTTGCTATTTTAAAATCTATAACCTTTTATAATCCTATATATTCTTTCTACCGATTCAATCATGTTAGTTTCAAGGTGACAGAGTGTTAGATAATCATACACCTTTCCATAATTTCTAACAAATATCCTAAAACCCACACAGCACCGAAAGTTTACTGAATAATAAGTTGAATGAACATTTAAATTTTCTGCCCAACATTTTATTTCAATGCTCAGTCACTTTACTAAACTTTGCAACTAAATACTTTGTAATTCAATCTACAATAAATGTTTAGTAAACTTTCGGAGAGGAATCGTTTTAAAATGTTTGGGAACAGTCTTAACCTACCAAACTACTTTCAGCAAAAAGTATTGCAAAGTTCTAGCCTTTTTAATATGATTGCGAGAAACTTTTTCTTACAAGAATTCCTTACGAGTAATATGGATTTATATCTGTCCCACTGATAATTATCAAAAAACTAGTCAAGTTTACCATAGTTATGTGATAGTTATAAGTGGGACAGATATATCCCCAAATTACTCGTAGGAATTCTTATAACAAAAAAGATGCAAATGGATGATTTAGGCATATGGTTAAAAATACTACAAATCCAACAGTTAGAATATTCAAATTCATTGAATATAAGATTTAATTTTTCAAGAATACTTTAAGAAACATTGAGAAGTTATTGGCAGAACTCGATTTTATATATACAGCCAAGAGAGGTGAAGACCTCCTTTGTCACGAGTGCACGTACGATTATTTCTCTCCCTTTCCGGGACCGAAGGTTTTTGCTAGAACCTAGATGTATCGCGCGCACTATCCTGACCCGACTTAACGTATAACGAATGCTTCTATATGGCAGTATAAGGTAACAGTACTTTCTGCTAAGAAACAAACAGAGCGACCTTCCGTTGATGTTATTCGGCGAGATGTTCGATTTGTCTTTGCAAAGAGAATTGAATCAAAATCAATTTTTAGACATTATAATATCCTGAGGCTATACATATGACAACGATTTCGTGTATTTCCTCTCTCTCTTTCTCTGCGTCTAATTTACAAGTCGCTCATCTCTTATTCAACAGATGATTCTGAGAAAAAGTACATGAGTCATCCTATATGCTGATTTGACCACGCCGATTGAACATAATATAGAGAAAAAGAAATGAAAAAAAGTTATACCCAAAAGTATTTTTTTTTCATTCACTAAATAGTTTTCATATAATTTATATGCGAGAGTAGTTTTCACCTATAGTTTTCAAACTATTAATTAAATGTTATATTTTACTTTTTTGTATTCCGTCTTCTATTTCTAGAAATCAAATACAATTTTTATTTTAGGATAAATTTTAAAGTACGAGCCTAAACAACAAACAAGAATCTGAAGTGTATATTGTTTGATAAATTTTTCAGATTGATTGACAGAAGGAAAAGAAAAAAAAATTGCACATAGGGAGTTGTGTCGCATGACTCACTACCACGACTTGCCCTCGATCGATTATTGATCATGGAATGTCCTGTAGGTCGTAGGACAAAGAGAAAGACAAATTTATATCCACATGTAAAAGACTATAAAACGTGGG